ATGTATGGATTGTAATGAGTTGTATGAGCCCCCAATAAAATGACTTTTTAAAAATCCTATGAGCAAGATTCTAGATAAAAAGCCCTTGTTGCACGTCAGGTAAGTGTTGGACTTCTCACTACAAGATTGTTGTGGGTTTTACAAGAAAGAAAAAAATCAAAAAGGTTATAATACTTGCAACAAACTTAAAAGTGGTAGAGCTGAAACTCAAACCTGGGGCCGTCTAGCTCTGAGCCCCTATTTCTAGTGCTATTCTCTCATTTACTTAATCATAGCGAGATAACAAAGCACTTAGTTCAAATCTATGTCATACATTTTTGTATCCACTCCACACCCATTGCTAGATCTAGTAGAATTCTCTTTCCAAGATAAATGATAAGGTGATGTTTAATCAATTAATTCTTAGTCCAATTATCCTTGTCTCCATGATTTAGCACAGTAGGATTTTTAAACAATCAAAATGTGTGGGCCTGTTCCTTTGTTTTTGCTGTTTGGTTTTTGGAGAAAAGCCATGTTAATCTGCACTTTCATTCCAAGATAAGGATTCTTCTGTTGTTCTCGAGCTGAGATGGCCTGAATTCCCTGTGCATGCAGTGCCTTGGGGGTGAGGACTGAGTTTGCATACAAGGAGTACTGGTCTTGGGCAGTTTGAGCTGGGTAGCTTCGCCCCTGCTCAATTCCTCCCATCTCCAGGAAGGTCTCTTCTTTGTTTCCCTGCCCCAGGCTGCCTTACATTGTCTGCCCAAGAGAGCGAGAGGTGCCCAATGGGTCTCTGTTCAGTCCTCTTGGTCTTTCTTGCAGAAATGAGCTTCTGCGCAACTTGTCCTACAGTGCATTTTGAAAAGCAAAATAATGATTTGGTAGACGTTGTGTGATAACACAAAGAAAGAAGTTCCATTTTGCAATGCAGAGAGTGAACTGGAACCCTCTGAGAACGTTTGATTTACCTAGATGAGGTGTCTTTTATTGTTTAAAGAAACATTCTCTCAGGGTTTTTTTCATATTACAAAAGGATTTCCTTAAGGTTAATGTACTTTGATATCATTAATCCTCTTAAATGAAAAAGATGTGCTTGAATGTAGAATTGTAGCTAGCTAGTTTTTTAAACATTGATCAGCAACAACTATGTGATTTACTTATAAACAAGATCATTTAAATGTATCATATGAATTACCCATTGCTGTTGAGTTAACTCTGGACTTTAACCGACCCTACAGAGCAGAGTAGAATGGCCCTGTCAGGTGTCCAAGGATGCGATCTTTAAGGAAGCAGACTGCTATATCTTTCTCCAGCTGAGTGACTGGTGCTAACCTTGCCATCAGCAGACAAATGCTTAAATTCTGGGCCACTAGGGCTCCTTATCATAGGAATTACCCACAGCCTTCAAGACAATTCCTCCCCATAATGACCCTATAGGACAGAGAGGAACTATTCCTTAAGGTTTGCAAGACGAAATCCTTATGTGAGCAAACAGCCTTTTACTCCTGTGGCACAACCGGTGGTTTTGAACCACAGATCTTAAGGTTAGCAGTCCATCCTTAGGCACATCAGTCTCTTAGGACCCTCCAATAACTGCTTCTGGTGATATCCAGGCAGATATCTTCTCAGTACTTCTTACCTCATGAGGAAAAAATCAAAATAGTAATCTCCCCTACTTATTATTCAGTTAGAATATGAGACATGTGGTGGTTACATAATTTCATATCAACTTGAAGCATTAGAAGGGTAGGGGTAGAGTTCAGCCTATCCATCAGGTTAACAGCCTGACCTTCTCAGAAGGAGGGACCTGGGGACCTCCCCACCCTCCGTCCCTCCGCCTTCGCCTTCCTATCCATCAGGTAACAGCCTGACCTTCTCAGAAGGAGGGACCTGGGGACCTCCCCACCCTCCGTCCCTCTGCCTTCGCCTTCCTGTTGAGGAGTCCTGCCGAGACCTGCCAGGGCCCTGTGATGGTTCAACCACCACTGGATCCACAAGACTTTGCACCGACAGGACTGTGATCTTCCTACATACTGCATCATTGCATGTGGCTGTGTGAGTCTGAAGAGGGATTTATGGACTAGTATCAGACTTATGGACTTGATCTGGACTGGGCTGGGATGTTTGCTTGATATATAATTACTTGCTGATGTAAAGTTCTCTCTTACACATATATGAGTGTCACTTAAGGTGTTTCTCTTGTCAACCCAGCTGAACACAAGACACCACAATGTCTTTGGTGTACCTCCTCCAGAAAGAAAACAATCATTCAATCTTAAAAAAAAAAAAATTCTATCTTTTTTTTTAAACCCACGTGAATTGTTGTAATTGTACTGTAATTAATTGTAAACCACAGGGCAAACTGATGTGAGCTCTTGAACAAGTTCTAAAAGTAGCAGCAAACTGGACTCCAACAGTCTAGGCCATGTATGTACATGTGGCTCTCGAGTAAAATTGAAAAATTTCAAAGGATATTCTCCAGATAATGATGATTTCATTTGTTTGTAAATATATACTTATGGATCTCAAATGATTTCTAAGTTGTTGTGAGGGACAGGATTGGCTCTTCCATCTCACAAGTTTGCTGACCCTGGTCTAGTCTTTTCAATCTTGGATAATGCGTCAGAGGACTGGAAAGTAGTAAATTCTAAGTAAACCAGTACTCTCGACACCAGCAGTTTGTCATTTCTTTCAGTCAGTGACCCACACAATCATTGTCCACCTCCTTGAGGAAGCCTACAATTAACAGCTGTCTATCCACAGCCGAGGTCTAATCTGGCATCCCTTCGAATCGTTAAGGCAGTGGTATACAGACAAATGGTAACGTCAACTTTTGAAGAACAGAAGTAGAAAGGGATATATGCTGGATCCAGAAATCACATGAAAGACTTAGGAGGCCCCTGACCCTTTTGGATTATGCCTAGTTCCGGATTGCTGATTGGCATCCATGGCCACCCTCCTCCATTCGAGTGAATAGTTATTACATAACACTGGGTTCACTCATTCCACCAGAGTGGGGTTTTTTTCCCTTCGCCAGCTCTCTTCCGTGTGAAGTCTGTTGTTCTGCATGTAATTTTGTTTACTTAATGGGGCTTTCTAATTTTCAAAAGCCCAGATCGCACGCAGCATGATTGTTCACATTTGGAGGGAAAAATCCCTAATCATTCTGATGGGAAGGAAGGTAAGGTGGTAATGCGCCCTCTTTCACACTCCCAAATATGATGTTTCTGGCTTTGCTTGTGTCTTCTGCAGCAACCATCCACCCTGGGATATGCAAGAGGAATCATTAAGAAAGAAGGCTTCGGGCTCCGGGGCCTCAACAAAGGGTTTACAGCGACTCTGGGACGTCATGGGGTTTTCAACATGGTTTATTTTGGCTTCTACTTCAATGTCAAAACCATTATCCCTGTCCACCAGGTAACTATTTAATAAGTTAAAATCCTGGAGGAAAACTCCAATCAATGATAATAGCTATAGATGTGGAGTCACTTTGGAAGGCTAATCTAATGATCAACTTATCTAATATGATTCTCATATCGATTTCATGCATTGAGTGTTTTAACCCTATTTCTAACCTGAAAACTGAGGCTTGGAAAGATCAACTACATTGCAAAAGGTCACAAGGTCACATAGTAAATAGCAAAGCAGAGATCTGAGCCCACATCTGATGCCAAAATGTAGCCCCTTGAGGGACAGAATGTTTTCAGATTGTCTCTAATAGAAATTACTATAAATATGTTATTTCTTTATTTTTATCTCATTGTTGTTGTTTTGTTGTTAGGTGCCATTAAGTCGGTTGAGACTCATAGTGACCTTCTGCACAACAGAACCATCCACACAACTGTTCCTATGCTTGAGCCCATGGTGGCGGCCATGGTGTCAATCCATCCCCTTAAGGATCTTCCTCTTTTTCACTGCCCCTGCTCTACCAGGCATGATGTCCTTCCCTAGGAGCTGGTCTCTTCTTCCAACATATGGAAAGTGTGTAAGACGAAGTCTCGCCATCCTTGCCTGTAAGGAGCACTCTGGTGAGACTTCTTCCAAGACAGCTTTGTTTGTCCTTCTAGCAGTCCATGGTACTTTCAGTACTCTTCTCCAGCACCGCAATTCAAATGCATCAGTTCTTCTTCAGTCTTCCTATCCAATGTCCAACTTTCACATGCCTATCAAGCATTTGAAAATACCAGGGCTTGAGTCAGGCACACCTTAGTCCGCAAAGTAACATCCTTGCTCTTCAATACTCTAAAGAGATCTTATGCAGCAGATTTACCTAATACAACATGCCTTTGGATCGCTGGATTGCTGCCTTCATGGGCACTGATTGTGGCTCCAGGCAAAACAAAATCCTTGATAACTTCAACTTTTTCTCCATGCATCATGACATCACCTCTGGGTCCAGTTGTGAGGATTTTGGTCTTCTTTACATTGACTTGAAATCCATACTGAAGGCTGCAATCTGATAACATTCTTCTAAAAGTTGAAATACTCATGTCCCAAATAAAATTTTAGCTCATAGGGAAAAAATGTCAACTTAACATTTAAATTTTACATATATAATAATTTTTAAATTTACTTGGATTGATTAGGGTAGAAGGAGCCCTGATGGTGCAGTGGATAACTAACTGCTAACTACAAGGTCCACAGTTCAAACTCACCAGTGGCTCCCTGGGAGTAAGATGAGGCTTTCTCTTCCTATAAAAATGCATTGCCTCAGAAACCCAAAGGGGCTTTTTTGTTCTGTCCTGTGGGATCACTGAGTCAGAATTGGCTGACTAGGGTCGGGTAGGTAGTTGTCAACACTAGGATAAATGGCTTTGTGGTTTGTTTTTATTTTAATAATATATTTTATATTTCCAAATATCAATGATCAATGGCTTTTTTGGTTTTGTTTGGCCCCTGTTCCTATTGTTGCTGTTGAGCGAAATAGTCATTCATAGTTTTGATGAATACAATTGCATGATACTTATTCGTTTTCAAATTGTGCAGTAATTCTTCTCCTCCTCTTCTGAGTTGTTCTTCCTTCATTAAATTAAACCACTGGCCCCTAGGTTTTCTATCTAATCTTTGGAATTGCTGTTGCCAAGTTGATACTTAGAGATAGTTCTTTAAAGAGTATATTGTTCAAAATATCATCTGCTTTTTTATGTGAAATGTAAATAATAATAAAAACTACTTCAGTGGTAGTTTACAAATGCCAGGAGCCCTTCAACTCTTTGATTAGATAACAGTAGAACATAATCTGTTTTAAAACCAGCCTCTTTTTGGTTGTAACATCACAGCACTTCACCCTACCGTGAAATGTCTTGCTTGCAATCCTGGAAAGCGCCAGTGGGGTAATATTATCACATGCAGGTGGATCCCCATGGAGGTTCAAGTCTTAATTTCACTTCATAAGAGAGGGTTACACGACATTTTATAAGTCATAAAAATATTTCAGTTATGGCTGTCGTCAGATTCTTCATTCAAGCCGGCCCTGCCTGTCCCAGCTCTGCCCTGTGCTCCAGTGCAGGCCAGCACATGTCTCCAGGCGCAGCTGACTGCAAGGCCCGTTCCACATTAACCATCTGTTGGCATTGCCGCAGCTTCAACAACCACAGTTGTGAACCAGGTTTCACTGGGTGGAAGCTGGTGTTTCACTGGTCTCAAATCACAGCTGACTGGCCACAGTGCCTATTGACTGACAATTCTCACTTCTGTGTCCCTTAAGGCTCTCCTGCTTTAGCTCATGATAGTATGAAGACTCAGGTCCTGGGTGACATCAGAGAGGTCAACCCTGAAGACTTTGAGGTCCTTTTTCACAAAAGCTAGCAACATTATTTGTGGAGCCCCCTTGTTCAAATATTATGTAACACTTCATGACTGCAGTAGAGCCTTAAACCAAGCCCAGCAATCATCCCAGGGCAGGGCCTTCTGTGACAATCCCATCCCATGAAGATAGCCCTGAGACATGTAGACCATGTAACATGGGAGAAGGGTCTTCCTCCATTTCTATAGCTATATAACGACAGACATTATACACAAGGAGATTAATTATATAAATATTCATATTTTATTTATGTTTATGAGTTATAAAACTGGATAGTACTCAACTATTAAGGGAGGGAAGAAAGGTGTTTTGTTTGTTTATTTTACTGAAGAACTATGTTGGCATAGAAGAAGTTTACTCACGAAGGAAAAAGAAAGGGACAGTTGGCCTAAACCACATATCTACACGCCAAGCCTGGAGGACGCTGTCCCTGCACAGAGCTTCTAAAGCACAGAGAGGGCTGAAGGGCTGACAACAGCTCATGACATGCTGTTCCCTTACTGGAGCATTCTGTGCCAAAGGACAATAATGGGGACACACGGTGGGGAGGTAGTGTGGTCTGGAGCCCCTGCAGCAGGGCAAACCAAGAAGGGAGTATAACAGATCAGCAACTGGAGCAAAGCCAAACCACAAAAC